AAAGGTAAAAAAAAAAAAAAGAAAACCTCCACTAATTTTCTTCTGAAGCAAAATAAAGTTTACGATTATCCTTAATTCTTCAAATCTTCCCTCTAAAGTTTCAGAAGCTCTGCCGTGAGCCTGCATGTGAGGACGCAGGCGAGGGCAGCAGCAGCCGCCCAGGGGGAGCCGAGGACACCAGGTCCCATGCTCCGTGGCCAGCGGACCGCCCGCCTCCTGCTGCCTGGGCGGGCAGGAAGACGCGCCCCGTCCACCCAGGTGTCCGTTTCCCCACCGAGCCAGACTGCAGAGGCCTCCGTGGGCTGGACGGAGGGGACGGACAGTGGGTCGATCAAGCTGGAGGAAGATGGGAACCCTCTCCGTGTCTCCACCGGGGCTGGCACTCCCTCCGGGGGGCCTCCAGGGGCGGCCCGCTGCGGACAGCACCCAGGGCTGTACGCCCTCGGGGCCTGGCGTGTCTCCTGCTCTGCCACACCGAGTCCCTCTCCCTCCACATTCGGACCAGACTGCACAGCTGGCCTCCACTCCCTGCTCCCCACAAGGTCCATACAGCCAGGACAGTGACAGGTGACACTGTGCCATCTCCTGGGTCTGGCGCTCCTCACTGGAGCAGGAGGAAGGGGTGGGGCTGCGGGGCGCACGGCCGCAGAGGCATCATGGGTTCCGTGTCCCCCAGGCATCGGCTGCAGGAGGCCAGGGAGCTGGCCAAACGCACCCAGCCGCCCTCCTTGGTGACCTTGGGGAAGCAGGGCCCGGGGCTGCTGTGACACCAAGCCTCGGGCCGGGAGCACGCCTCTGCCCGTGCTCCCTGCGGAGGGCGCCCCTCCTCTCCAAGCTCAGCTCCTCCACGGGCCTGTCTGGTTTCGCCCAGCCGGGGCCGGCCCTTAGGGACCACTGACTTCATTCTCGGGAACCGGGCCCCCTCCCTTCGCAAACCCATGGTGCCGACGTGGGGAGCGTGCTCTGCCTTCTCTCCCCCGAGCAAGGACACAGGTATGGGGTGTCACGGCCGCAAGGACCTGGGAGGACCCCGCCTCCGGCCAGTGCTTCCTCCTTTCCTCCACCTTATCTCTGGCTCCCCGCAAACTTCGGCCAGGAGGAGGGGCCTCAGCACCCCGCACTCCCGCCCGCCCCCCCCGGAGGTGGGGAGTAAACACAGAAGGAAGGCCTCCCATGCAGCTCCAGCCGGGGGCCAGCCGGGGCCTCTCACTTGGGAGCAGGGCCACCCCAGTGTAACGGGGCTTATGAGGTGGGGCTCATCCCCAGGGGATACCCCAGACACAGACGTTTGCCACTGGCTTCTGCCACAGTTTACATACAGGGAGCGTCTCTGGCCTCAGCCAGCTGTCCGCGAAGACACGGCTGCGCTCAGCTGCTGCTTCTGGGGTGGTGGGGGGAGCCGCCCGCCCCTCTAGCTTCTCTGCCTCTTCTCTCTGGCACTTTCTGTCCCTTGGCAAGTACGGTCACGGTCTCTTCTTGTTGGGTAAGAGCCTGAGGCCCTCGTGGGAACTTCCTATCTCCCAGGGCTGAGTGGGAGTGAGTCACGAGCTGGCACAGGGACACTGAGTTGGCAAACACATCCATCGTCACTCCCGGGGCAGGAGCCAGGCGTGCTGGGGAGAAGGAAGGCACGTGTCCACTCCGTCCCCCCGTCCTCCCGTCCCCAGACAGCGGGCGGAGGCTGGCACCGGCGTTCAGAGCCGAGACATGCAGAGGGTGGCGGGCTGGGTGCTGAGGTGGGCAGGGGCCAGGTGGAGCCCGTCCCCTCCCTTCCCAACTGCAGGAGATGGCGACCCACCCTCCTCCTGGCAGGGTCCTGAGCTGCTGCTTCCCCGGCGCCCGCGCCTGCTCGGATGAAGGCAGGACGTGCGGAAGGCGGTGCCCGTCTGCCGGCCTGGGGGGGCGGGCTCGGCGGAAGGGGCCACCCTGCCCCTGCGGACATTGGTTCCTGCAGCTACCCAGAGCCACTCTCCAGCCACACAGGACCCTGAGAAGCCGGGTCCTGGCCCGCCGCCTTGCTCCACGGGTAAGCACGTGGCTGTGACAGGCCCAGGCGGCCCCGTGTCTGGGCGTCAGCGTCAGCTCTCCTCCAGGGACAGGGCCCCTAGCACCTCGTCCACAGGCCCTTTCACAGCGGGGTCGGTCAGTCAGGTACAACGGAGAAGGGGCTGGGGGGAAGGCCGCTACGAGTCCTGGCTTCAAGTGGGGGAAGGAGGCCGACCAGCAGGACAAAGCCAGGACAAAGGTCCACTCCTGGGCACTCGGCCCCCTGGGAGCGCGCGGTTGCATGTAGCTGAGCTTGGCAGGGGGACTCTACATGGTGGGCCCCAGGCCAGAAAGGGGGATTTCAGTCTTAATCCAGAAAGTCCCCAGAAATTGAAACTCCCCCGGCCTCAGCTTCACCGAGGACAAAGCCATGTGAAGAAGCCAGCTTTCAGCTCTGGGACGGAAGGGCTGAGGCTCCCCCTGCCCCCAGCTCTCTCTCACCCCTGACCTGGTCTCACCTGGCCCCGAGGAAGGTATTCAGGGGCCATATTATGCGGACCTCAAGCTCTTACCAGAAACAGCTGTAGCCCGAAGCCACTCAGCTTGGGTCCCTTGCCTGGGAGAGGAGTGTAAGGAGTGTGTGTGTGTGTGTGTGTGTGTGTGTGTGTGTGTGTGTGAAGCTACCCTAACCCGGGGTGCCAGATGTAGCAAATAGAAACATCGAACCCCCAGTACTGGTGTGACAGTCCGTGCAGCTAACGCCTGCATTCGATCTGTCTGCTGACCTCTGCTTCTCCCGGCTGGGCTGCAAGTTCATTGAGGGCGGACAGTCTCTTCAGCTGTGTCCACTGAGCTCTGGCCGGGCCCCCACGGTGGCTGAGTCCCAGCTGGCAGGAAACGACCCCAAACCTGCTAATGGGCTGTGCGGACGGCTGGGCCCCACTCCCCTCGCTCCTGGCCCTCTGTGCCCTATGGGTCTCAGCAGTGGGGAGGAAGTCACATCGCCCTGAGCCGGTGGTGCCACAGCAGGAAACGCACAGGCCGGAGGCCACCACCCGTCACCCTCCCCTGCTCTCCTCCCGGCCCCATCGGCTACGCCATTGCCTCCTACTCCGCCCTCCCACGGCCTGGGCCGCGTGTGTGCTCAGCTCCTGGCTGTTCCCAGAGCCTCTGCTGAGCTGGGAAGGGACGGGACGTGCCCCGGCAGCTGCCCAGAGTGAGTCACGTCTCAGGTCCCACCAGCGAGGGAGGAGCGAGCAGGGGAGGCCTCCGGGGGCCGAAAGGGAGGGGATTTTCGCTGGTGGTCTGAACACAGGCGGATGGGGGGGTCATGCAGGAGCGTTAAGAGATGTCAGTTAATTAATCAGAAGAAATGCTCCCCACGGGCCAGCTGGCGATGCGGACAGTCCTTGGCTACAAACTTTCATGCTTGTAAACAAATTGGTAACACTCTCCACTTGGTAATGCAACGTAGTAGCGACCTGCGAGCACAGAGGCATCACTGTCCCATTCCCGCGAGAGCAGGTCCACCCCGGGGAGTCGAGAGGTTTAGCCAGAGTCACAGGGCCGGGCCCAGCCTCAGGACCGGCTGCTCGGTCAGCGTGAGCGCCCCCCGCGCGCCCCGCCCAGCCGTCTCGCACGACCAAATCGTTTTCCCGGACTCCGTGCGGTCACCACTCTGCCCCAAAGCCGTCTACTCACATCAGCGCCCGACTCGCAGGCTTCCTGGACTCAGTCAACCAAATGCATTTATGTTGCACCGAGAATCGGAAAAAGCGGAGGGAAATGAATTCGCAGCAAACCTGGCCAATTCCTCCCTTTAGCCCCTAACCTGTGACACACGCGACAGACGAGTCCTCCAAAATTAGCCCCGACGGAAACGCAGGAAGGCACGGGTCAAGCCGGAGGCAAAGGGAGCCTCTGACTCGTAAGCCGCCCACCCTCTCCCTTGCCCGGAACCCCAACGACCAGGGTGACCCCTGCGAGCAAGGTGGGCTCAAAGCAAATGCTGCCAGGATCCCGGGGGCCCCACGAAGACGGTGCCCCAGGCTCCCGCGGAAGGGCGGCCCTCACCCCACCCGCACGATGCCTCGGGGGGCTCACGAATTTCCAAAAAGAAAACAGGCCAATGCTGAAATCAGCAAAAGGAAAGAAAAGCCATCGAATCGGAGCTGGGAGAGACAGCTGGGCCAGCAGCCCCGAAGTCAGGCTACGAGGAAAGCCCTTTGCTGGCCTGGATGGTTGGCCCGGAGCGTGGCCCCAGGGCGCGCTCCACAGATATCGGTTCAGAAGCGGGCGGGCCGGGCTTGGAGGGTTGACGTCACATAGAAAGGCAGTGACAGGGCCAGGATTAAAAGATCAGGGGTCATCTCTACCCATGTAAATGAAAAAAATCTTAAGACTGATTATATTCAGTTTTCTTCATGTACATTATTTCACGTAATCCTGGAACTAGCCCCACGAGGGGACTTGGTTACACCCGCGCCACACACGAGGAAACCTAGCCCCAGGGGTGGAAGGGGCCTTCCTCCGTGAAGCAGCGGAGCTCGAATTCGAACCCTGACATGCCCGACAAAAACCCCGCTCCAGCCCCCGTCTGCAAGGTCAGGAGCCGCTGCAGTGGCCCCGCTCCTGGCCTCGGGGTGGGGTGCTTCCGGGGCGCCTTGGCCATCGGCACAGATCGAAGGGACAGCTCCCTTTGGGGTTTCCCCAGAGACAGCCGCATCACCCACAAACAGACCTCAAGAAGCCAAACTCTCACATCCGTGACCCAATCGGGTTGCGAGATGGACTCTCACAAACGTGTCTCTTTGTGCTTTTCCAAAAACGTTCTCGTCTGAGACGTGAAGAAATATCTATCGGCCCTAACAGGAGGCTGTACTGAGGGCCCCTATGACACATGGCCAAGCGAAGGGACCCGGTCCCATCGCAGGGAGCGGAGCAGCCTCCTCTCCCCGCCCCACCCCCTCCATCCCCACGACGGCCGGTCCCTCGGAGGGGAGCCAGCTCCTTACCGGATAGGCCCACGAGCCAGGCCCCGCCTGGAACCTGGAGTAGTAGCTGCTCCGGTTGGCAGTCCCATAGTTGTTGTAATTGTCGGCCAAGCCATCGTACAGGGACCCTGAGGGCAGAAGCAGAGTTAGAGGGCGGTGGCCGAGCAGTTCACCCCGCTCCCCACCGGGCATCGCTGCGTCCGGGTCCAGCATGCCCCAGGGGACCAGGTCCGCTGTGTCCGGGTCCAGCACGCCCCAGGGGACCAGGTCCGCGCTCAGTGGCTGGCCAATGGGGCTGAGTCGCCCTTTGCTGTCTCCCTTTACTCCGCCCCTTCCACAGCCAGCGCCCCTACAGACAGCTGCGGGACAGCTCGGGGTGGGCCAGCCCCTCCTGGGAACCTTATGGCTCCCTGCTCTTGAGGCAGGCGACACCCGCAGGTCAGGACCTGGCGTAGGGGGCCTCCGACCGCCGCTGTTCCAGTCCAGGGACTCACCAGTCCCCATTCCACGGGGACCAGCTTCCCACTTGGGGAAGATGGCCAGGGCCTCCACTGCCAGGTCCAGAGCTGCAAGGTCAGCACCACAGGGCAGCGATGGCCGCTGAGAGTCCAGCTCGGGGCGAGACTCCACTTCCAACCCTCAGCCCGGCCCCGCCAGTGACGCAGTGACCTTCCGCCCCTCCCCACATCCCCTGGCTGCTGCAGGTGGCGAGGGCAGCGTGGCCATCCCCTCAGAGGCCGGAGCTGGAGGCCACGAACCACAGGTGGGAGGACGGTATCGTTAGGATTTTAGGGCAAAGGGCCTTGAATCACAGAAAGAGGGGCTGAATTTGGGCTCCTGATGGGGCCACCCCTTCCCCGGGCTTGAGGTGGGGCACTGAAGGACAGCTGTCCTTGGAACATGGCTGACGGCGACAGGTCGCGACCTTGCTCATAGGCTCCTCGCGGAGTCTGCCCGCCCTCCTCAGCCACAGCCGTCGAATCCCGCCCACCTTCCAAAGCCGCGCTCCAGACCTCGTTCCCTCCGGGAAGCCCGGCCTCCCTGCCACCTCCACCGCACCCCAGTCCCCTCCTGCCTGGGGTCCTTCCCCGGCCACTGCATGAGGGCCATAGAGGACAGCTGGGGCAAAGCTGGCCGCACTTCAGACCACGGTCCCTGTGGGTCCAGGCGAGTACCCTAGGGACGAGCGTGCTGCTTCCTAGCGATGGGCGGACTCCAGCGTCCGAGGCCCTGTCTGGGGGGAGGGTTTGCCAGTGGTCTCACCTGCTCAGGTGGCCGGTCCCCACCTGCCACAGCCACCCAGACTCCCAAGCCTTTGGGGGGACGGGGACTGTGGCAGTTGTCCCCGCCTGGTGCCACTTCTGTGCAATGCCACATGGCCACCCCAGAGCTCCTAGGACAGGACCCTGGCCGTGATTCTCCGCCCCAGTGGCAGAGGGTCAACTGGCTCTTAGGGCCATCGACCGTGGCCTGGGAGCCTGGAGTTGTTGAAATGGTCGCGCTCTGACATTTGGGCAAGTCCCGTGCTCTCTCTGGGCCCCAGCTTCCTCTCCTGTGGGAAGAGGGGGCGGCCCCCACACCCCCGAAGGCCCGCACAGTGCCAGCGCCCTGACGGCTCTCCGAGGGGCCGGCTCCCCTCGCCCGAGATTGGGCTCGTTACAGGAAGGGGGCAGACGTCAAAGGCTGTGTCGCCGCCTCCTCGGCTGCTCTGGGCCCAGCCACCCTGACTCCCAGTGGGGCTGCCCTGCGAGCCCCTGGCTTCCTCGGGGCTCCCTGCTGAGTGCAGGCCGCTCACGGCCCGTCCTCCAGAAAGGGAGGAAGGCCGCCCTCGGGGGGGGACACTGGAGGCAACCGGGGCTTGGACGCCCAGGGAAGGGGCGGCAGCCGGGCCTTGTTCCCGCCCTCCATCCGCCCCGCCTCTGCTGTACCCCCCTCCATCATCCGCCCCACATCCGCTGTCCCCCCCAACCCACCCGTCCGCCCCATCTCCACCGCCCTCCCGGGGCTCGGTGGGCCCGCATTCGTTTGGTTCTGCCCCACGAGCATGGATTTCTCAGCAAAGGGCAGCGTGGGCCGGCCAGACGCTTCTGGATGGAAAGTCTGGAGTGGTGGCAGAGCCCGCAGAGCCCTAACAGGCCTCCCGCTGGGACGGGCGCCCGCGCCTCTGCCGCTTCTCAGCGGGCGCTGTCCACAGCGGTGTCTCTTGCCCACTCAGTCAGCAGGCGACGCGCCCCTCCCTCGCACACACTCGTCCCTGTGAGACTGGCGGGGACCGGTGGGGCCCTCTCGCCGTGGAGGTGGGGTGGGAGTGGGGGGAGCACAGCGCCTCTGGAATGCCAGTCCCCGTGTCGCCATGGTGACTCTGGTGATGACAGCTGTTTGCCTGTAACTCTCACTTCCTTCCCGCGAGCTCCCGAACGCGCCCCCTGTGCTCCACCTGGGCTGAGACCGCCGTCAAGCCCGCCTCAAGCCGCTTGGCTTGGCTTCCTTGCGAGAACGAGGCTGCCATCATGCCCGCCAGCACTGCTTCTCCGGCAGAAGGTAGCTGTGCTCAGGCCCAAGGTCGTGGGGGAGGGGAGGCGTCCAGAGCCGTCACACACCTGAGGTCACACCTTGCAGTACAACGCATAACAGAGGGGTACGGGTGGGGGCGGAGCTGCTCCTGCAACAGAAGCAGGTTCCCCTCTGCCTGGGAACTACCGCCTCCCAAAGTCAAGTTCAACAGCCAGGGCGTGGGGCTTCCCGCGAGGAGCAGGGCTGGGCGCGGCGGCCCTCACCGCTCCACCCCGTTTCCCCACTCACTTCTAGGAAGCCTTTCCTGGTCACCGCCCCTGCGCCTGTCACCCCCGGCCACCCATCTCAGTACAGGGCATGGAGGCCGTGGTCTCCCTTGGCCACCTCTCGTGGGGAAGATGCTCCGGTGCCCAGAGGCCCCAAAGTCCCCATAATTGCTGCATGAGACCAGGGTCCTTGAACTCTACCCAGCCAGGCCTTCGTCCCAGCCAAGCAGGCCCCTGGCAGGCCAGGTAGACCTGGCAGAGAGGGGAGCTGGGTGCAGCCCTCGAATATCCACGGCCACTTACTTAGGGAGGATTCTCAGGGGAGGGGAGCCCAGCACCCAGCTCACCCCGAGCCCCGCCCCGCCCAGGTGAGCATCTGCATCCCACCGTGTGTCCACCAGGGCCGAGGATGGCGCTTCTCAGGGAAGCTGTCTGCCACCTGGCCTAGCATTGTCGCTGTCCCCAGAGGCACCTGCCCGCGCCCCAGAACCCTGACGGCAAACGGCGAACGTCCACACCGCTGGCCGGCTCTCGTCAGCACCTCGGGTGTACAGCCATCTCAGCACCCTGCCGCCCCGATGACATTCGTCCCTCGACACTGCTTCTCTCTGTGCCTGGCCCCCTTGGTGTCACAGCCCCC